GTTCAAACCCACCAGCCACTCTTCAGAAGGAAGATGGGGCAATCTACTTCTGTAGTGATACTGCCTCGGAAACCCAAGGAGGGGTCGCTATGAGTCAGCTCTGACTCGACGGCACATAACAACAACATAGGTATAAATATATTCACCTACTGTTCTCATCCCCACTTTAAATTATGCTATTTTATTTTTGTCTTTCCAAGTTTGTCACATCAGTTACACTCAGTGCACCATAGTTCAAACAATAAAAAAAGAAAACCCAATTACCGTCCAGTTGATTTCAACTCATGGCAATCTCACAGGCCAGAGTAGAACTGCCTCATGTTTCCAAGGCTAAACTTTATGGAAGCATGCTACATCTTTCTCCCACAGAGCAGCTGGTAGGCTGCAACTGCAGACTTTTCCATTAGCAGTCAAACACTTAACCACTGCACCACCAGGTAATATAGTAAAATATTCAACATGTGCTGCTCCTCAGTATAATTTTCCAAGTCCTGTCACTATCAACTCATTCCCTTGAACCCAAAATTATAGCCTCAACAACAGGACTCACCCTTTCCTTACTTCCGCAATGAATGTGAAGTCGTTCGTTTCATTTCTGCTTCTAAGCCCCAGAAAGAATTCACTCAGGTCCCTTTCACCAAGGTCCTGCGTTACAGACGTGTTCTTGCTGGTGGTGCTGCTGCTACCTTCCAGGAACTAAGACTCCTCTAACTTGCCAGATTTCTGCTTGGTTTAGCCACTGCCTGCCAAAGTCAAAGCTTTCAAAAGCTTCTGATCCATGGCGATGAAACGAAATCAGTGTTCTATTTGCATAACTACCTTACAATCTTCCTTTCCACTCCTCACCTCTCCACATTAGGAGTTCTCCTGGGTTTGGCATTGGTCTTCACCATTTCCCTATGTAGCCCGAGTTTTAAGTCAGCCATTGGTGACTTCCTTATGTTTATCTGTGCTATATTTAACAGATTGTTGTTATTGTTATATGCCGTCGAGTCAGCCCCGACTCATAGCGACCCCTCCTTGGGTTTCCGAGGCAGTATCGCTACGGAAGTAGATTGCCCAACCTTCCTTCCGAGGAGTGGCTGGTGGGTTTGA